CAATTGAATTATTTCAACAGATCAGTATTTTTACATCAATATATGAGCAAGAGTTGTACATCATTGGCTCTATATCATCTTCAACCTCTAGTGTTTTCTTACCTCACCTCTTTTTGTTGATACGTATATACATTGTATATTATTTGAACGCACGAATTTATCAATACATTCAACTAATGTAGGAATGTTTTTATACAGCAATTCCATCTTTTCGCATTCACCATGACGACACCTGGGTAAAAACACTATTTCATTAGTATCGGCAGTGAGTTGCATAGTTCAATTCTACTAGTTTTGTTTTAAATTGATTAAAACTTGTCAAAAACAGCAAGTACTTTTTAAGGCATATATTTAATTTAAGCATTAAAGAGAAATAAATGCCTTAAATTGTGGACATTATGCCGGAAATACAAAAAGACGGCCAAACCACGTGACCATTTTTTTCTCTTTGAGAAGCTATGGTCATACATGCTGTATACAAAATATCAAGTTGATCGATTAAAGCATTCTTAAGAAACAAATTGTTAATTTTTAGCGAAACCAAAGATGGCAACGAAATCATGTGACTAACTTAATTTTCTACTACCCGAAGAAGCTCAGATGAGAGATGCAACGTGGCAAATGGGATAACTGTGGCATCAGCAAAAAAACACTTCCTGTTTAGAAGAAAACTAATATGGCGACCAAACTACATGACTAACCTCCACAATTCTCAAACTTTAATAATTCGCTTTAGAAATAGAATAGGTAAATGTGAATACTGTCTACTTTTGCTGACCAGGCTAGACAATCATTGACACAGTGTCATTCGGATACACTGGTGTTATGATACTATTAATAATTAATGTGTAGCAAATTGTCCGTCACAAAAAAAATTCTTGGTAAGTTTGACGTGACATATTACATATTCTGGTGTAACATATTTACTTATATAGTATTCAACTGTATAATATTTCACTTACCCAGCAGTACCCATATTTCTCCAATGTAATGCAACGAAATCCTCACCATTGCAGATCTGTTTGGCCACTTTGTCTGCCGTTTCTTGAATATACGATGCTCTTATTAAATACCTGTCAATTCTCCCATAATTGTCTATAGAATCATTAACTTTGTCATGTACCCTACGGCTATCGACTAAGAACACGGCAATGCAGGGTATATCCATGGATGAAAAATACCGCATTGCAGATTCAAACCAGCTAGGACCGTAATCTTTAATAATTGGAAGTTGGATACCTAGAAGATTCTCGTATAACTCTGGGTTATTTGAGGAGTACACGGAGGTTCCCTCTGTCAATGACGCACGTTTTAAAACAGTTTCCTCAAGTTTAGACACGCGCAAATTCACCAATGATTCGAAAGGAATATCCCGCCCGCAATCTTTTCTAAAATCTCCAATCGACTTTACTGGGAGCAATTCAGATAATTTGTCGGTGTCAAATGTCTCGTGAAATTTCTCAAAATTGTTACCGTCGTGGGACCTGAATGGTATCTGTACTATGCTCCGATTTTGCTGTAAGGCGTAGTTAATAGCAAACCGATAGGAATGGTAAATGGAGTTGGGTCCTTGGTGGCCATAGATAACAAGTGGTAACAAATAACGAGCTTCATTTGGGTTTGGTTTGTTACTATGCAATTTCGTGCTCGATTCTTTAACGTCGTTTTGTAATTTGCTATTTAGAAGTTGTACCTCGTGGCTATCGATCGGCAAACCAACGTTGCTGGACTTTGATTTCTTGATACCGCTTTGTAGTTCCTCCTGACCATTCTGCGAGACTATGTGACTTATTGTTGAAATTTGACCTTTGATTGGGTGTTTCTGTGAAATGAATGAAAGTTTGTGAATTTGGGTAGGATGTTTTGAACTGTAAAGAACAATATCAATATACCGTTATGCTATATACCAGCAGAAGAGACAGAAAACTTCATATTGAATAGGAGAAAATACGTTTGTTGTTCAATAGCATG